GATACTTACGCTAGCATTTGTCGTGATTTTGCTTCCTAGCTAAGCATAGTCTCCCTCGCAGCCATTTTTAGTCATTTCAGTCTTCTTTTTTATTAAAAGCGCGCGCAAAGGGTCAAGGCCCTTCTTTCTTACCTTCGGTGTGAAATGTGATCGTCCGGGTGAGTGAAGTCTTGAGAAATACTGCTGTTGGGGGTGAATTCTCTTTTCTGAGCAGGAGCTATCTTCAAAGTCCAGAGTCCAGTAAGAAAACCTTCCCTTGAACCTTTGCGCGCTTGGACTTGGGTTTTGAAAAAATCCACTAATTAAGGTGGCTCGACCCCCTCACGCTTGACCGCTACCTTCCACTTTTGGAACGCTAGTGCATAAACGTCTTTTATCCGATTGCAAATCTTTTTTGCACATAAGTCACATAAAGATTGAATTAATGTTTGATGCAGTTTTTTATGAGATCGGACGTCATAACACGTGATTATGATGAAATATTTGATTTCGTTTAGAAAATAATTTTAGCTTTGCAGAGCGTTCAACACTAAAATGCTTCGTACCACATAATTATATACTAGGTGCCTCCATTTGTGGGGATTTTTGAAAAAATCTATCTAGCTAATTATGAGATATTACGTACGAAGTATTTTAGTGTTGAACGCTCTGCAAGGCTAATATTCGGTCAAGCGTGAGGGGGTCCAGCCACCTTAAACGGCCTCAAATCGCGCTGAAACTTCGCCAGAAGACTGCAGCAAGTTTTGAGGCAAATTGTCAATGTGAGTGAAACATTTTTTTTTCATGACTTTATCATAACTCCAAAGGAACCTTGTTTGGACTGCCTGTGTGTGAAGGAGCACAGGCTCTTCTCTATATAATCTATTTATACAAACTTCGACACATCCCTGTGGAAAACTCAATATTGTTTAGAGACATTTGACAAATCGAGGTTTCTTAATTCTAAAGCCAATCTCATCAGAAAAAGTTAATAATAATATTGATCTCATCCAGACGTTTACGCTTCAGCTCATTTGATTTCAATGTCCCTTCCCAACTCGAATAATTATTACTTTGTTCGATGAACACATTTTCTCCTGGGTTCTCTTATACTCATTATGCTTTTAACTTCAAAACGTCTCTCATAAAAAACAATAGAATCAAAAAAAGGCGTGACTGGTTTTTAAACCGGTTCAAACCCAACTGCCCAGACTTTCGTGAAAATTTAAGAAATCAATTTTTTATTGATTTTTATTGATACGTTGATATTTTCCATGCTATGGGTCTAATAGACCTTTCCCGAATTCGCTTGGATGACCACGAAACAATGGTTTGAAGTCGTGACTGAACTTGATTCTTTTATTCATCAAGTTCAACCTCGACTTGAAACCATTGTTTTGTGATTACTCGAGCGAATTCGGGAAAGGCCTATTATTAACTAGCCCCTGGATACGTTTGCACTCTATAAAGAGTAATCAAAAAACAAACAGGTGAGTTGCCATTCATTTATTCTGCAATTTACATAGCATTTTCTTTTCTTTTCTTTTTTTCGCCCAAAGATTTTATACAAAAATATATTCATATCATTTAAAATACAGTTCTTTAAATAGAAAGATTTTAGATAAAGCTGGATTTTGATGAAACAACATAAGAACTAAGCTCAATTTCAGAGGCGTAGCCAGGANGTATCGCTAATAAAGGTCGCTAGATATGATTTTTAACGATGCTGACTGACTGACTTAGAATATGGTTGAGCGTAAACCCCATTATATACGCATTTAATAGTTTTTAGAAATGGAAATACAGGTATATGTATACAAGAAAATGTGCGCATTTTGTATCATACTGAAAATTTYCAACGATAATTTGCAAAAACTTCGATGTTATCCGCATATTCGATATATAAATCACCTAAATGATACTGATCAATAATTTAACGTACTCTAAAATGCAATGAATTCATATTTTTATGAGTAAAAGGCTCATGATATAGGGAACCGATAATTGGTTCCTTTTTCCGCACATATCATGATAAAGAACATGATATGGACCCGTTTCTTAAGTGGAGGTGATTATACGGGATACCTGTGGAAATATAATAAAGCTTTCTTCTCAGTACGGAGAAGGTTTACTTCTACGGAGAAGGTTTTCACTTTTACGGGGAAGGTTACTTCTACGGAGAAAGTTTTCTTCTACGGAGAAGGTTTCACTTTTACGGAGAAGGTCTTCGCTTCTTCGGAGAAGGTTACTTCTACGGAGAAGGTGTTTCTTATACGGCGAACGCGTGCTTTTCAACGGAGAAAGGTTACGTTTTAGAAAAAAATATCATCTTGTTTAAATAGAGAATTGTTTCCGCGGAAAGAACTTGTAGTTTTGCATAGAAATGGTAGATATTAGCAGAGAACAACTCGATTTCCAGAAAAGAAAGTATTTTATTTGTACAGAATACATTTCATTTTAGAGGGAAGTGGTGTCCCTTGTGGGCCACCGTAAAATTCTCATGCAATGTGATTGGTCTGGCATATCCCTTGCCATGTAACGACCGTGTTCGTGTCGTGAAATTTTCACGGTCATACGAAAACTGATCTAGCTATGAAATTTTTACTGATATAACGAACACTCTCATTGGTTGAAAGATGACCATGTTGACACTAGTTTTAACTAGTGTCACGTGAGAAATAACTCGAAATGTTTTCTTGTGGCTTATAACACTGATTTCTCAAAGTGCTTGAGAAATGTCTTTATAAGATGTATAGTTTAACCTTTTTAGTTGCTGGAAGCCCTAACAATGATCTTGTACCATATTACAAAGGAATCGTACATCGTAAGAATATCTATAGTAATTTTTGTAGTTAGCTTACCAATTTTCGGGTGCGTCCTAGCTGCTGTTCTTTGTCTCTGTACACGATTTGGGGCCAATCCGACGAGGTTTAGCCTTTTACGGGCCTACTAGTGCGACAAAAAAGGTGACAAATAAACAAGAGATCACGCAGTTTACCATTTGTTTGGAAAATCCGGTTGAAACCACAGTTTTGGGAGAATTTGGGTCATTTTAAACCCCCTTCCAAAATGAATGGGAAGGTTGGACTAGGTCTCGACAAGATCTTGTATATTCAAGATCTTAGAAAGTGTTCAAGGCAAGATCTTTCCAGATCATCCAAGATAAGGCAAAATCACCAATGATCTTAACAAGAAGTTCAACCTGGGTCGACTTTTTCCCCCAGGAAGAACCTTCTACTAGGAACGCACGCCGCGAAGTTCTGATTGAGTGAGAAGATGTACAAAAAGTTTTGCTTCTAATAATTGTCAAATGAATTCAGCGTTAAGCTTTACGTACCTCAGATATGAATGCCCAGAAGAATTTGCTGAGTTATTTTTGCACACTTACGATGATGCAACTGTAAAGAAGGAGGTTTTATTGAAAGAGGAATCCAAATACTTGCAGTTTTCGAGCTAAACCATATTGGATTGAGCCCGCACTATATTTTTTCGAAAAACCGCATTCGTCATCACTACAGGAGCCCATTTTTTACCACAGGAAACCCAATATATGAAAACCAATAAGCGCCCTGATGAAAACCGCGCGCGTGCGCATTTGCCTAGCTCCCTTGGTCCGACTTTGGGGTTAGACTCTTCCACAGTCTCTCGCTCGTCCGTTCCGTCTCCACGCTTAGAGACTGTAACGGTACAATGACCGAAAGGACATATGGGTCCCGAAAACTTGGACCCAGCGTGCTTTGGGAACAAAAATACTCGTCCACAGTCTCTCTCTTTTTCGCCGCCATCTTGAAAATATTGAAACGAGAGAGACTGTGGACGAGTATTTTGGTTCCCAAAGCACGCTGGGTCCAAGTTTTCGGGACCCATAAGTCCTTTCGGTCATTGTACCGTTACAGTCTCTAAGCGTGGAGACGGAACGGACGAGCGAGAGACTGTGGAAGAGTCTAACTTTGGGGTCTGACTAAGACGCGGGTACCCTGGGTGCCAGAGGCCGTTTGGGGCTTGGGGGATAAGACGCGGGCGGAGATGGTTTGTTCGCTGATTTTTTCGAGCAGAGACAATAGTGATAGCTTATAATTATGAAAATAAAGTTGACTCATCAACCTTTAAATAGTTTAATATTTCCCTTAGCTTTCGGCCGACACGGTCATCATTATTGTTGTTATTTTTGCTGTTGTTTTATTTATTTATTTTTTTTGATAAAAAGCCTCTGAAAAGAATATAGGCAGCGCTGGTTCAATGTCACGTTCTGATCATGCCGTATGTGTGTTTCAAGGCTACTTGTCAATCATATATAGAACGGAAGTAATCGTGCTGGCATGTCTAGATACCAGTCACAGGGACCTCGCGCCCGAGGGCCAGAACTTAAAAACTTCCCCCTTAACACCGTCTCGATATAGAATGCGAGTCTGGATCACTTTCCTCATCAGGATGTGGATCTTGACCTTCTTCTTCTGGTACTGGGTCGCTGCTACTGTGTGATGTAACCAGTCGATTAGAAACAACTGGGGTCTCGGGGGAAACTGTAACCTGACCACCAGCCGGAGGTCAATACCCCAGCATCAGAGAAGTCATCAGGCACATCAAGCCCATCTTCCTTGTAGGTTGTGGCGTTAGTCGGATCGGGGAAGTCCGGTTCTGTTAGTCCCGATGGATGAGGTGACTTGCATGCAGGATGTCACCGGGTTATATTAAGCTTTTAAGCTTAGAAGTGTATTTCATGGGTTTATGAAAACCACTCTACAATACAATTAACTAAATACAATGGCTTGATTTCACTCAGCTGATAAAAGTCTTTGAATCTCATTATCTGCTCCAAATGGTAGTCAAACACTCGGACCACCATGTGCTGTCAGTCAGAATGAATTATTGCAAAACTTGTGATTCAGCTGATGAACATTGGAAACTGAATGTCTAGTGAAACCCAGCAATAACTTTATTAACGAGGGATGCGCAATAACTTATTACAGTTTCTAACTTACGGCCCTCAAAGCCGGGAAGCAAATAAGAACAGAGGCAAGTCAGTTTTCATTCCTTTATTCTGCAAATTACTTAGCATTTTCCGTTTTTTTTTTTCGCACAAAGAATATACAAAAATATATTTATATCATTTAAAATACAGTTCCTTAAATAGAAAGACTTTAGATAAAGCTGCATTTCGACACTAAATAAGAACCTCAATTCATTCTGTATTCCTATTCTATAAGTCCACTACTCGTTTTATTGATTTCCAAGGTAGGTAAAAGAAACAGTTTTAAACTTTTATATCGATGGTGCTAGACTTGCCAAATTTTCTTAAGGGGGTGGGGATCATGATTTAAGGGGGAGGAGGAGGGGGTCATTGATAATCCAATCATTTTCATTTCAAGACTGGATTCTTCATTACTAAAATCATTAGGATGGTCCATACTAGTGTCTTAATCTGTGATCTTTAGATATTTCACAGATTTCCCTGAACGTACTATTGACAAGAATGGTTACATGGTCATTCCCTCTACAAACCACAGCATAACATTCAAAGGTGAAAATTCATACTTTTTTGCCTACCGAAGTAGCTCATCGTAACAGAGAAAAATAATGCCTTACGGCACTTCCCAATCTCTCTCGCGAAATCGTACAATTTACCGTTGCAACAAGATCCACCTCTGTACGACAATCAAAGTGATTCCATAACATTGTCGGAAAACGTGGTTTTGCACTTGCCAGTGAAATCTCATGAAAACGCCTTCATTGACGTCCACCAAAACCACCTTCGTTGTAATGGTAAATTGTACGATTTCGAATGTGATTGAGAAGCGCTGTAATTACAGGATGTATCATTCGACATAAGTGAATGTCATGTATGTATGCATCCAAGTGTATATTCATGGAAATGGAAACTGTGTTCTTCAAATGCATGTTACATAATCGCGGTCATGTTGGTACCATATAGGCACAGACACACGGTGTAACAATGCGCGCAATATTGCAGACAATGTTGCTGAAGTAGGAACGTTTTCTACTTCAGCAACATTGCGTGCAACAAATTGCGTCGTGTCATGGCTTGCAACATCGACTCCTTGCAACATTGTACGCGCAATATTGCACGGTGTGTCCGTAGCTTAACAAAAGATTTCTAGCCAACTAGCCAAAAACCATAATGGGGGTGGTGGGGGGAGGGGTAATAAAGACAGATGCTTTCCTATTACAACGACAGGATTTGGAAGTAGTTTCAAAATCTTGGTTACCAAGACTTCCTACACAAATATAATCTACTCAGTAATGCTAAAAATATTCGTACAATCTAAGAAAGACCCTTCACGGAAAAATTTACTGGTTTACTGGTCTTTCAGAAAATAAGAGCAAGTATCCAATATATGGAGACTATATTTTGATATTAAAAATTAATTCAAATTTAATTTTGATACTATAACTGTCGTATGTGTTTGTATTTTCCCGCTAATTAACTTGGTAAATCTAAAAAAAATAAAACTATGAAGTGTACTATGATTAGATATCCTCGATCATGATTTACCGTTCTTTGAGTCTGGTTGTGATTTTACTGAGAATAGTTTATTGAGTGCTCTCTCTTTGGGTATCATAGAGTACGGYGTTGGGACTGCTGGTTTGGTCCCGGGTTTTGGTGGTAGTTCCGGACTCTTGATTCCAAAAATATGTCGAGGTTTCACCATCGGCGGTAGAGGKGGCTTTTCATGTTCCTCCTGCACGTGACCTAGTTTCCCTTCACTCCTTGCTAGAACAGGGGTACTACTGCTCTTCTTCTCAGAAGACAGTTTACGCGGTAGCGGTGTAGGTCTAAATCGTTCAGGCATGGTCATCCGTCTCTCACCCATCGYATTCTCCAGTTCAGATATTAAAGCTGCATTTGATCCCGATGAAATACCAGATGAGAACATCAAACTGGAAGGCCTCGGTTGTGAGGGCCCACCTGATGCCTCATATGACGTTTCMCTAGAACTTGAAGCCACTGTTTTCCCATTTACGACGGTTGTCTTGGAAACCGTTGTAGAAGATGACACTGACCACGAGTTTAGAGATGAGAGTTCTTGAAAATCATTATCGAAATTTTCCCAATTGTCTTTATTCCCAGATAAACTCCAAAAATCATCTGGGATTTTAGACAAAGTACCAGGTTGAGAAATTTCGAATGAGTTTGATAAATTTTTGCTAGCAGATGACTTAATTGGAGATGGCAAATCTCTCGCTACAGGAACGTTTGTCACATCACTTTGTTTCTGAATTTCATTAGTGTTGATGTCATCATAGACGAACTTCGTTGAACTTAAAGTCGGTGTTGGAGAAAAACCAGACGAAGCTGGAGTAAGAGACTCCTCCGAGGAAGCAATGGAAGCTCGAGAAGATTCGCTTGCTGTTGAAGAAAATACACTGCAAGTATCATCTGAATCCGGTGACTTGACTCTGTCGTAATTATTTCTCCTCAAGATAACAGAATCTGGYGGTGGGAATGTTGCGTTTAAGTCGTGTGGTAGATCTTGTAAGCTTGGTGGTGAAAACCCTTGTGACGATCTTGGTGATGAAGTGCTTGTGTGCTTCTTGGGTAGAGGGATAGGGAATTTGYATGGATTGTCATCGGAGGTTGCCTAGGAAAGATATACTAGTTAGTGATAGACTGATGAAACAACCTCTGGGTTGATCAAAGTAAGGGCACAMTTTACTCACAGATCGAATTAGGAATTTGCTGGTTAGGTTTTACGGAGGAAAGAAAAACAAAGAACCTGGAGAAAGAGCCCTCGAATTGAGAGAGAGAGACTTACAGCCATTCTCAATCACACGCGCAGCTCTAGCGATGGTTTCTGTTGCGACGAAGAAGCTTTTGGTGGACGTCAATCAAGGCRTTTCCATGACATTCTATAGGCACGTGCCCTTATAGCTTTGCGTTTTCCGACAATGTTATGGAAAYGCCTCGTGATTGACGTCCACCAAAACCTTCTTCGTCGCGACAGAAACAATCGTTAGAGTTGCGCGTGTGATTGAGAATGGCTGTAATAAACTCTGCTCAAATGTGATACCGAGTCCAGGAATCGAACCCGAGATCCCAGTGGCGAGAGGCGCGTGCACTACCATTACCCCATCCCTGATTCCTGTATAAACATAACTGATTCACCTTTTTCCTTAAGTTGGCTGGTTTGGTTTCCTTTTCAACATCTTGACTAAAGAAAGAGCTATTCCTGGTCTTGGGTGGGAGTTCTGGGACAGGACTAGCAACAGGTGTGATTGACTCCTCATCATCGTCAGAACTTGACTGGTTACTCGAGGTTGAATCAAACACCATGGATTTCCTTGGGGGGAGGGGTGGAGGGGCGTCTGGTAGGTCCTCATTGTCTGTTGTCAGTAAGGAACTCGCAGATCTTTGTTTCTTTGGTAATTCTGGAGAAAAATCAGCTCTGTGGGAGGAAATAATGTCACATAAAAATCATGGTGGACACAAGGAGTCCAAATACGGCAATAATTTGAAATGTTAAAAAAAGCTAGTGTCATACGCAGCCGCTATTAGTTTCGTCACGCAACGCTTACTCCGCTAAGGGAGTCAGCGTGGCGTGTCGACGCTAATAGCRTCTGCGTAGGAGACTAAAAAAGCAGGATGATTGAAAAATACTTGAATGAAGAAAGGTATATGACACTGTTAAAATTTTACTCATCAAACGGTTTACTGCGTGAGCAAGGGCGGATCCAGGGGGAGGGTCGGGGGGGTCGCGACCCCCGTCATTCCTGAGGTCAAATTAGCTTCTTGTGGTAAAAATGCGACTGGCATTCCTTTGTCCACAAAATTTACCCCTGAGAACCCCCCTTCATAAAAACCCTGGATCCGCCCTTGGTGAGGTACTAATARTTTCAATGATGGAACTTATGAAAGTTAATTTACCCCTTGCATTGATTCCTAGAGGAATTGTTCTGGGGAACAAAACAATAGGCAGCTTTTCTTATGTAAAAAAAATCCGTTATTTTGTCCCCCAAAACTGCTTACTTCTCTGTTGTAATCGTAATGGGCCCCTAAACAGAATCTTGAGCTCAAGATAGGTTATCTACACYGTGGGCTTACCCGTTTTCATCGTCTTCTATTCTAAATGACATCATAGCAGCTGGTAGAGAATTTCTACCGTGTTTATGTACGACAGGAGATGACTTCAACCCACGCTGATCAATCATCGGATCAGAAGGTGGGCGTGGATGCTTCTCTGGTATGGGTGGAGGAACCTCTTCATCCACCTCTCTCAAAGTATCCAAGGACGCTATGCTACCACTCAGTGACGTCATACTGCTCCCAAATGACGAACCACTGACACGTGACAGGGTACTGGCTAACGACGACACGCTTCCTCCAAAACTCTGATTTCATTGAAAAATCGATTAAGGTTTTTAAAAGTTATAAAATTAGGAATTATGAAAGTATGGGTGAATGTGACGTCATAGCTTTTTTATCAGGAATTTCACTGGAATTGCCGGCAAAGTAGGCTGGCTGGTGACGTCACTGTCGCCATGTTGAATAAATTTTACGAAAACTGTCAATTGAGGCTTTTTAGGTCATTTTATCCAGMATGGCTGGCAAAAATAATTGCAACATATTTATGCCAAGAAAATGTTCCACAACACGACTCAGTAAAAATACTTGCCTTTTTTTGTGCTCCAGCACTGGGTGAAGGAGTGTTGGGTGATGGTGAAGAGCTATCGTACCATAAACTAAGGCGTGAATCTCCACTACTTTCACTGACTGTYGTGCGGGAACTTGACCTTGAAAAAAAACAATCATACGATTAACACAACATTTGAGACCTTTAGCACCACGTTATTGCTAGGTTCCGCAAACCTAAGACAGCAATTTAACATCAGGCGTTTTCGGTCAAACTTTYAATTTTTAGCAAGGCGTCATAACGAAGTTTTTGCTGGAAGAGTCGCCATATTGAATTTCATTGATGCTGAGTGTTTCTCTGCGGTATTTGCGGGCTTGTTTCTGGGGCTGATCCCTAGCGGTGAGCGGTAAACCTGATGCTAAAGGTCTTTAATACCTTTTACGATACTGATAAGAACACGAGTCTTTTTTCATGAGTTRGCCATAAAAAACCGCCCTTGTTTATGTCCGCGTTGACTCTTTCTGAAGTGCTTGAATGAAAAGACACACTAGAGAAAATGTCTAAACAAGACTGCTTAGGCGGGAGAAAGCCGTAAGAGTGAGAGAGATTGCGGTCCAGCACAAATGCATGCGTCGTTGTATGATCGCAGCTTTTTAACATGACCCGACTTTCTTTTTTATACAACAATGGAAAGCATGAAAGCTACGGCATCTAGTTGGAATGCCACGAAATACCAGTATTTTTTTCTGACTCACAAAAAGTCAGCTTAAAGGCTTATTCGTACGCTGAAGGAAAACACAGAAAAACAAAATATATTGACCGCAGACGGACTTACTTCCTGAGAGGTAAACTGAGCTTGCGATCTTTAGATTTCATGGGAGATTCCTCAGGGGTGCTTGGTGTGGGCAACTGGATCTTGGAAGAAAATAATACGATGAAACTGTTATTTACCAGGACAAAACAGCGAGGTGATAAATACTCTATATATTTACCAGCAGTTGCACTTCGTAAGGTTCTCCAGTAACATCTAATTTCATCTTAGCAAACTGGTGAGCCATTTTCTCGTGGAAAGGTATCAGCGCTTTTGTCAGTAGACGCTGATGAAGATCCAGACCTTCTTCTAAGATATACACCTATGAAGCAATATCCAGGAGGAAGAAAAACAGTAATTAGAATACACACACTGCTATAAAAGCCCACCAATTTAAATATTTGTTATTAAAATTATAGTGTTTTTTTTATATAAAAAAATATATTTAAATATTTGTAACGGTGCCTAATTCAAACCTTCAATTTTATCGATACTCTGAAACAAACTCGAGGCCAATCAAATTCAAAGCATGGGTACCTCACAGATCGAAGTGCACGACTTCGACGCTGATTTGCCGCAGCGAAATGTTTTTTGCTTTACATAAAATAAAAGTTTGGGAAGCGCAGCAGCTTGTAGCAAGTCTTCAATAATCCATATCTGGGACCAAAGCAACTCCTTCATCTTAACTGTAGCGTTATTCATTTTTTCGGACCTCCGGYTTTCCCTCCCTTCYTCTCAAATCAACCCTAAATAATTCAAACTGGATACAGCTGTGCTCTGAGGTCATATATGAACTGTGTGGCGGCTGCCAGATTACCCTACTCTGCTCGCAGGGTACTGCCAGATGCACCTTCACATKCTTTCAGTTTGACCCCATTGAGCTGCGCCACTGCTGTACTTGCGGTGGTGATTAGCGACAACTAAGTTTTTTTATATACCTTAAGATCACTAGCAACAAGTGGGTTATATTATTGTTTTACCTGTTTCCTGATTGCATCCTCCAATAGATCAACATACTCCTGATCATCAGGATTTGACAAGATATATCCATCAGAGAAGAACGCCTCTTGATATTTTGCAGTACCGCCCATGACTGCAGCGTCTATGACTCCATTCAATGCCATGCTTAGCGGGTTAATATTTTGGTTGGGTCGCGATGACAGTCGACTGATCAGACCGCGTAACTGCTGGTTCTTTTTCTCMACAGTTTCGATTGCATTTCGAATGGGACTTATTTCTTCCTGAAGTTCCAAAACACAATGATTCTTAATTAGTTACCTAACCTCTTCGCGCCCGGTCGCAAAAAGGCATTTTTCGGTTTCCGTAATAATAATGAAGGAAGTACTAGTTCTCCAGACAACCCAAACCTGATCGGATTCTTTATTAGTCACTATTTCGTATTTCTTGGGCATCTAGCTGAAGTATTATCCATCTAGTCACAGCGCATTTTTGAACTAATTTAGTAGCTCGTTTTTATCTCAGTAGAATAACATAGTGGAAGCCAATCGCAACAGCTTTTTCTGCTGCTCATGCCTTGGCTGTCGTATGCGCGCAGTGTTTGTTAGTTGGTTGGCCAAACAGAATTTAGAGCGGAATTGAAATGTCCGAGGTATGTAACTGGTTTGTGTCTCGCATTTCTTTTCGGCGCAAGACCCATTTGAGGATCAAAGCACAAGCATCGAAATTTTTCCTCTGGAAGGGAATCAACCGTAAGGCATCTATCCTAGCAGACTAAATGGCACAAGATACCAATAAGATAATGGAGATAATGACTTGTATATAGGCTTTGCACCATCAAATGATGGCAGCCACGACACGAGGCAGGAACAATTGAATCTGGTTTACTTAAAAAAAGAATTCAGCTTTCATGAGAAAAAAATTCTAATGTTGTACCTCCTGTCATGGCTGCCAGCACGTTATCGTGCAATACCTCTATAGAAGCTCCCTTACCGTTGAAGTAGAGATTACACGAAACCATTTTAGTATTCCTGGTAGAGAAGCAGAAATCTCAATGGTAGTCCTTTCCAGCCAAAGATTCTATTGAAAAAAAAAACACGTATAAACGAGAAGAATACTATAGTGTTTCATCTACAGACGGTCAGGAATCCAGAACTACTTGGTGGAATAGTTAGGCTATGAAAACCCGCATATTTTGATTATTTCATTTTTTTTTATTTTTTTTTTTTTGCGGTCAGACGTCACTGATCGATTTGAAAATTTTTCGACTCTCAACTTTTTTTAAAAAAACTAAATTTTAAAACTGAATTAAAATGTCTTTAGGGGATGTGCACTAACTTTGCATCCACCAATACATGTTCAGGAATCCTGCTTATAGCAAGTGTTTATAGCAATCGCCTTAGACAAAAAATACTTGCTAGGAATATATTTATTATAATCTTTTTAATGTGTCCTTTACAATAAAAGGATTCGTGGTTTTGCTGAAAACACTGCGTAGAGAGGGTCTTAACAGACATCTGTCTCAGTCTGTATCCTTAAATCAGTCACAGTAACACATACCGCAAACTCATTGGACTTGATGTTGACACCTCGATGAAAAGGGCGGTCGTATTTAAATCGTCTTACGTAATTTACTCTGTAGTAACTGCAACAACAAATATCTTAATGATGACGTTATATGCGCAACATGAAAGAGAACGTAGCGCGACATGTCTGTCTGTGTATTGACCATGCCAGGGTGTAAAAATAAGAATCTTATCTGAGTATAAGAACCTCACGACACGGTTAAGGTGTCAATGCTCAACCAATCAGAATGTTTGGAATGGTTACAATATGCCTGTTTTCGCGTGAAAGGGAAGTGTTTGGTGCTGACTTACAGTACGTACACGGTATGACATACTGTAGCATTGGTATGGCTTCCCGTAAGAATGGTTAAGATATGAGTGGGAAAAATACGGCACTGACTTACAGCAGGAAGACAGTGCCACATGTCGTAGCACTGAAATGGATATCCTATCGTCTTCCAGTGATTCATCCAGGTAATTACTACGTTAAGATACGGTGCGTCTACAACATGTACGTCATGGCTACGGATTTGCCATATCGAGTCCGTCTTGTTTCCCACTCATACGAAACTGTTTCATACAATGTCCGTACCGCAAGTCCTTCACAGTAATTCGGGATCTACTCCATATAAGAATACATTTTATTGGTACGGTTTTCGTTACCTTATGATTTGCTCGTCCACAGAGCGATCTCTGAACAGATCGTCGTACTCACATATCGGGTTGACTTTACAACTCTGGAAGTCTAGCAATGCGTTAAGTAAAATACTTGTTTTAGGGTCTGTCACGCAAATATTGCGTGACATACACCGGCTAAGAACGTCTACGTAGGAGCCGCTAGTATGAGAATAAACAAATGAGAAACAGCTAGAGCACAAACAAGGTACAACTGAAGAGAGGGCAGATCCAAAAAAGCGCGCTTTGAGAGAGATGATTTTTTAGGGACAGACAGTACCTTGTGTTTAGGAATATGAATTGCGAACAAACACATTGCAAATTAAGAAAATTTTCGTTATTTCTCATACTAAATATTGCATAGCATGACGTTAAAATGCTCAAATTGGTACCTATTTTTGTTTGAAACTAAATTATCTATCTTAWAAGGATACATTGACCTGGTGACTGCAAGATGGTGTTGTCTGGAGGGGTCAGTTTGTCCATGAACTGAGTAATGCAATCATAAATAATACAATGTATTAGTATCAAGAATGTATACAGTAGGACCCCGTTGACTCGAACTCCCAAGGGAAACGAAAAAATGGTTCGAGTCGTCAGACCTCTTTACCACAGGCGCAACGTTTTTCAATTTCTGGACCACGTGTCATTCCCTTGAGAAAAAGATTCTTTGTTTGAGTTGTATCCATATTCATGTGTTTTCTCATGTGAAACCGTTAAAAAAAGAAATGTTACTCTAGAGAATGACACGTAATCTGAAATGCGCAAAACATTACGACCAGGCTAAACACGCGTAATACATTTCTTTTCAATAGACTGTGGCATGTGTCTATTTTGTCCTATATTATTTCTCGAACGAGCAGCACTCTTAGTAGAATACGATGGAAAAACATCACAGATTAAGGTAGACTGCGAGCAGTCCCTCTATTTCCCTGTCGATTGGCCGAGCCCTTACTTATACCAGCCCTGTGGTTTTTTCAGGGTAATGATGAAATAAATTGATGTCTATCTTACTTATCCTAACACCCACCTGAGCATCTGGAAACTGTGCCTGCATTCTACGGTTAAATTCTCCTATCTTCTCGTACTCTTTACCTCGAAAAACGAATACTTCGTTCTAGTGCAAACAGAAATAAGCAGTTAATATACATTTCTTCTCCTTTGAATTTAATATTCTATTATTAAATTCGTCTTCCTTTTTTCCATTCTTTCCTTCTTTATGTTGAAGTCATTTTTACTCTTTCCCTTTTATTTCCCTTTATCTCCCCTCCTTTCCCTTTTTTCGTTATTTCATTTCCTTTCTTTACATTCCCTTACATTCCCTTTACCTTCCACTTCCTTCATTCTCTTCCTTCCCTTTCCATCCTTTCCCTCTCCTTCCCTTAATTTCCAACCCATTATGTTTATCTCATTTCCTTTCTTTACATTCCCTTGCATTTCTTTTACCTTCCACTTCCTTCATTCCCTTCCTTCTCTTTCCATCCTTTCCCTCTCCTTCCCTTAATTTCCAACCCATTCCGTTGATCTCATTTCCTTTCCCCAAATCGCTCTTCCACATCCTTCCTTTCTCTGCCTTCCTCTTTACTCAAATTTAATAAGATATAATTGTGACTACGTACTCGTAATGAAGGAGAAAAGCCTTTGCCGTACATGCCAACTCTGAAGTATTCTGGCTCAGGTCGTACTTTAGACATGATGTTATCATAGAAAATGGCCTCGGATTTCTTRAAGAAAAAAATTGTTTATCTTGCTGTTTTACTTTTGATAATTTTACTATCATTTAATGACTTTTATATTAGTATATCTATATCATTTGGTATTAKTAGAGAAGGACTTACCAAGATATCACTAAGTTTAACAAAATCATACATCTCATTCTCATACAGCTCGGCCAATTCTTTGCATAGTTCGATGCCCTTCTCCCAACACTGAAAAGAAAGAAACCAAGTTCACTTCGGCTTATAAGAAACATTTGCATCAGTCATTTAAAGTGACGCTTTTATTCAATGACAAGGCGCAAACTTTGCTAGATGTCCAAAGATGAATTGCGCGACGATTATAGGTTGTTCTCAGTCATATCGTAGAATAAATCTGATTCATTTAGCACTAATCAATAACGATTTTGATGTACTACGAATTACAAAATGAAGTATAAGAAACGAWCAACGTTTCGATGCAGCTTGCATCATCYTCAGGTTCTGAATACAAAATGTAAATGTAGCACTATCTAAATTAATCCCGCGCAACCTTATTTTCAAGAACTTGAATGCGAGGCTACGCAGGTGAAWATCKATTGYTCAAGTCAAYAKRGCTGCCGCATGAGAAATTGAGGTCCATAGATAGTTCAATGAGCGAACACAGCCCTTCATGCTAGCTCCAGTGGTTTCTCTATTGAAATCTTTCCATAAAGATGATAACAATCCTGAATCATGCCAAAAATGGTGTATATAATTGAAAGAGTAGTAGGTAGCACATGTACCTTGCCCTTGTTAAAGTAGTTGATGGCATCCAAGTACAGCTTCTCCTTCAGTTGCCTCTCAGTAATAGAACTCCTTGTATCGTCTACAGGTCGCTCTAACCACTAAAYACACCAAGAATTAGTAATTTACTTCAAGTGCCTACAATAAACACGAATACTAACGAGATATGAAGAAAAGAAAAGGTGGTCGTGCAGTGTAGACAGTGGTATTCGTGTTAATAGGGACTTTAAGATTTGCAAAATCTGCGAGGGTGACGTCAACCGGAAGTGTAAATTACTTCGCTTTGGGGTTTCGAATCTTTAAAATCTGCCTTCCCTGTGGATGAGTTGACTTCGCTGATAATGTTTTGAATGAAATCTCCAATGAACAGAACCCTAAAGAGAAGTTATTTACACTTCCGGTTGACGTCGCCGTCGTAGATTTTGCAAATCTTAAAGTCCCTAATATAGAAGGCACAGAGAGGCACAGTGATAGATATGGGTTTTTTTTGCACAAGAATACAGAGCAAGTGCAAGAGAATATTGACCATCTTGAATATATAATTCACCATCAAGATGACTTACAGTTAATAATTCAGCATGAAGCAATARAGTAAAACCAGCCTCGGTGAAGTTTTCTGCAGGAATATGGAGCTCACACAACCGGTTGATATACCTATGAAGAACGATCAAGAAATATTAATACCTTGATAATATAACATTATTATTATACTGGTCACCAATTGATACCAGCTGATAACTTTTTTTAATTTAGCGGATCGTTTTCTTACCAGTTTGAATAAAGTCATTATATTTCACATCAGTCCTGCCCTCGGTACACAAAAAACTGTCTTTCATTAACTGAGAGCATCAACGGTGCAGACTTCTGCTTATGATGAAACATGTTCGCAATACCAGAAAGATGTCACATTTCTGGAATCGATGCCTCAACTTTGGCTTAGTGGAATTGTAAAGTTGTTACTACTAACACTATACTAGGTGCACAGTCTTGGTCCTGAGTGCAAACCAAAGTTCATTGACCAGAAGCCCGTGGTTGATTTTCAGCCAACGAAACCAATTCACAGACAAGTAATACTTACCTAATAAACATGTCTTCTCTGTCGATACCTTTGTAAAACTCCTATATGAAAAACAAAAACAAAATGATTATGAAATGTTAGAAGCTTAAAATACCGCGTTTTAGTGCCGCTTTTAAAGGAATAAAGATTATTTAATCACAAACTGACCAGTAGTTTGACGATACAGCTCAATCTTCGTATCGCATTATCGTCACTGATGCAACTCCTGTTGGGAAAAGATAACATGGGATGTAAAAGATACTGAAGTAACGCATGGTGACTCTTACGTGACTGCATCCAACCCTTGGATGAACAAAAGCAAGGGAAAAATACGTCACACATTCTTCGCCTATATCCCTTCTCAACATGCTTTAAGGTGAACCTCTCTTGTCAGGAGGTCGTAGTAGCATAGTGCTACCACTCCTTGGTCGGTAATGGAGGGCACGGGAAGACAAAGAAAACCATTCGCCTATATTCCTTCTCAACATGCGTCAACATGAACCTCTCTTGACAGGAGGTCGTAGCAGCGTGCTACTACTCTTTGGGTGTGGTCGTTGAGCAAGGAAATGACGGGAATGTAAAAGCAAAAAAGCCAC